ACCTGAGACGATTGAGGCCAAGGAGATGGTGGATGGAGGCGTGGGAGAGCCTGTGCTCCGGAAGATGCCGCATGCGCTCAAATACGAGGTGGTGGCGCGGTGGAAGCGAGCGCGGGTCGGCCGCCTCACCCTGCCCCACCACGTCTGCGATACCCCCATGTTCATGCCCGTAGGCACCCAGGTACCCCCCTTCCCCTTTCTATTTATTCTTTTATTCTTCTATTCTGTTTTCCCCTTTCTATTTATTCTTTTATTCTTTTATTTCTGATTTTTCTACTTTTTTGGCTGCAGGGCACAGTGAAGGGGCTGACGACGGAGCAGCTCGAGGCGCTCGACTGCCACGTCATCCTCGGCAACACCTACCACCTCGGCCACAGGTACCCCGTTTCTTGTCGTGTCGTGTAGTGCGTGTCGTGTGTGTCGTGTTGTCGCTGACGGCCTGGTTGTGTGTGTGCGGTGTGTGTGCGGTGTGTGTGCGGTGTGTGTGTGTGTGTGGACAGACCCGGCGGCGAGGTGGTGCAGCAGATGGGCGGGCTGCACAACTTCATGAATTGGAATCGCAATATCCTGACCGACAGCGGCGGGTTCCAGATGGTGTCGCTCCTCGAGCTGGCCGAGATCACGGAGGAGGGCGTCACCTTCATCTCCCCGCACGACGGCTCGCGCATGGTCCTCACGCCCGAGCAGTCCATTCAAATCCAAAACCAAATCGGCGCCGACATCATCATGGCCCTCGGTACATACCACACCTCTCCACTTCCACAACCTGCCACCAAACGCACACGACCAACGACACGACACGACACGACACGACATAACCAGATGACGTTGTGAGCTCGACTACTACGGGGCCTCGAGTGGAGGAGGCCATGCACAGAACTATCCGCTGGATCGACCGATGCATCAACGCCCACAAGAATCCCACCACCCAGAACCTCTTCGCTATTGTCCAAGGTGCGCGTGTGTGCGGTGGTGTGTGTGGTGTGGTGTGTGGTGTGTGTGTAACGCGGACTTTAACGCAATGAGCGGCTGGTGCGTAGGCGGACTCGACACAAATCTCCGGACGCAGTGCCTGCGAGAGCTCATCAAGCGAGACACGCCGGGCTATGCCATCGGCGGGCTCAGCGGAGGCGAGCGCAAGGAGGACTTCTGGCGCGTCGTCGCCCAGTGCACCGACCCCGAGCTCGGTTCGCTCTCCGCGCGTGCGTGCGTGCGTGCGGCCGTGCGTGTGCGCTGACTGGTGAACCCTTCTCTGCGCAGGTCTGCCGCAGGACAAGCCGCGGTATCTCATGGGCGTGGGCTACGCCGTCGATCTCGTGGTGTGTTCGTGCCTGGGCGTCGACATGTATGACTGCGTCTTTCCCACCAGGACCGCTCGCTTCGGTACGCCACTACTGCCATCACCTGTCCTTACACCCCGCACACTGACACACTTGCACACGACACGCGCACACGCTCCACCGCACGCACGCACCGCCGCACGCACGACACACAGGCACGGCGCTCATAACGGAGGGCAGCATCCAGCTCAAGCACGCCCAGTTCGCCAACGACTACCGCCCGATCGATCCGGACTGCGGTTGCGTGGTGTGCCAGAAGTACACGCGAGCCTACCTGCACACGGTCGCCGCCAAGGAGGAGGTGGGCGGCCAGCTGCTGAGCTACCACAACATCGCCTACCAGATGAGGTGCGTCTCCTTCATCATGTCATTGTTGTAGATGATGCTACACGATGATGGTGATCATCATCATCATCTTGGCTGATATGATGGCGAACGTGGCCATCATCAGGTTGATGCGGGAGATCAGGCAGAGCATCATCGACGGCAGGCTGGACGAGTACGTGAAGGAGTTCTTCCGGAAACAGTTCCCCAAGGGCGACTACCCCGAGTGGGCCAAGGACGCGCTGCTCGTCGCCGGCATCGAGCTCTGAGCTCACGGTTCGGCGGGCGGCGAGGAGGAAGAAGAAGAAGGAGTGCAGCGTTGTGTTGTGCGGCAAGGTGGTGTCAAGTGGTGTTTATGTATGCATGTGTAGGAGAGGGCTCGACACGTCCCTCTTCCGTGCACCTTCAATCCCTCTCTACTTCAAAGCGTTTGCCAAAAAACTGAGCCCTGCTGCCCGCTTAGAACTCATCCGAGCCGCCCTCCTGCTGCATCATCTGCACGAGAGAAAGAACATGGGAATGATCAGTCACGTGAAGACTAATCGTGCGAAGCGATTACAATCATACACAATCAGCTGAATCGCCGAAAGATTAAATAGAAATGGGCTGCTGCGTACGCTCT